ATTGCAATTACAAATTTGAGAATTCTCAAAATCGTATCATAAGCAATATTGCTTTTTCTTTAGAAAAGATATATAAGGGCATGGTCCATCTGAACTGTATAATAACTTTGAGAAATGCTATAGCTACACCAAATTGTAACACTGTACACCATTTACACCCTATCTGTATGCATTACTTTGTCTTTGACTCAAATTCCAATCCACAGAAAATAATAAAATAAAAGAAAAAGTGAATTGTATTGTATTTATATACGGTGTAATGTGAAATTGGAGTGTAAGGATAGCATTTCTCAATAACTTTAGAAAAGTAATAAAAGCAAAAAGGTGAAACTCAAAAGTTGATAAGAAAATAATTCAATAAACGTGGGATGATGGGTTTATGACTACATTAGTACACAACCTTATGTCTAGAAAATCATTTCAATATACACTTTAAAACCAAAAGGAACTAAGATTAATATACATCTCTAAAATCAATGTCACTGATTTATCTATGATTCTGTTTGCTGTATATATAAAACATGAGACACACTTTGATCATGAAGATATTTATCCATACTTTTACATTTCATTGACAAAAGAAAATGAGCACTATAACTTTTCTTATTTTCAAAAAGTTACATTATGTATATCACAGAAGACACTATAAAACACTTCAAGATTTTATCAACTTTGTATGATTTTTTAAGAATTTTGAAAGCCTTTGAATATTTCTACTGATAAGATAATGGATACTAAATGTTCTAGAAGAAAGATTCAATTGCTTGTAACTTCAGCTCTTCTTTTACTGCAAAACTTTCTTATCATCCCTCAGATATTGGCAGAGGAAACCAGCACTGTGAGTAACTATTTAACACACATGTCAAGAAATTTGAATTTTTGTTTGTTTGTTATTTTAGCAGAATTATTTATGAAATGCATGTTTCTAGGTTCATATTGTATACATGGGAGATAAGATATATCATAATCCAGAAACTACTAAAAAGTTTCACCACAAAATGCTGTCTTCACTCCTAGGAAGGTATATATATGGCTTGTAATCTTCACTTTTTTTTTTCCTGCTAATAGAGATTATAATCATCATTATCATAAATGTCATTTTTTTTCTTCTGTTGTGTAGCAAAGAAGATGCAAAGAATTCACTTCTTTATAGCTATAAGCATGGATTTTCAGGGTTTGCTGCTAGAATGACAAAGACTCAAGCTGAAGATATAGCAAGTATGAATATTTTAAGCTTGATTTTTCTATACCTATTTTAGCATCTTTTAAAAGCTATATGTACACAATGTGACAGAGTTTCCAGAGGTAGTTTCTGTCATTCCTAATGGCATTCACAAACTCCACACAACTAGAAGCTGGGACTTTATTGGGGTCCATCATTCGTCCTCGAAAACTGTTTTCGCTGAAAGCAACTATGGTGAAGGAACCATCATAGGTGTCATAGACACAGGTATTCACTAGTAATCGTCTTACAAATGAAAACGGATCTCATGCATTCGTGCAATTAGTAATTTGGAACCGTCCGGTTAAGATCAAACTGATAAGGTTTTGAGAATGTTTTTTTAAATATGATTTACCGAGCTCAAAACTTGAGTCGTCTTATGAAAATTGGACGGTGAAGATCTTCTAATTGCGTGAATGTAGGAGATTCCTGACTGGACGAGATTCCTAGAACGGCATTGTAATGTAATCAATGATAAACATTATATCTTGAAGGCATTTGGCCAGAGTCGGCGAGTTTTAATGATGAAGCAATGGGAAACATCCCATCAAGGTGGAAAGGAGTTTGTCAAGTTGGAGAAAATTTCAACTCCACAAACTGCAACAAGAAGATAATTGGTGCTAGATGGTTCCTAAAAGGAATAAATGATCATACTAAGAACCTAATCCTTGGAAACAACGACACGTCAGAATATCTCTCCGCTAGAGATGCTATTGGCCATGGAACTCACACAGCTTCAACAGCAGCTGGTTATTTTGTAGAAAATGCAAACTATAAGGGACTTGCTTCTGGTTTAGCAAGGGGAGGAGCGCCTTTAGCTCACTTGGCTATCTACAAAGTTTGCTGGGACGTTCCTGTTGGACACTGCAGCGATGCTGATATCCTCAAAGCATTTGACATGGCTATACATGATGGAGTGGATGTTTTAACCGTTTCTCTTGGCATTGACATTCCTTTGTTCTCTTACGTTGATCATCGCGACACGATAGCAATTGGTTCTTTCCATGCAACTTCCAAAGACATCACAGTTGTTTGTTCAGGTGGAAATTCTGGTCCTATTTCTCAAACCGTCACAAATACAGCACCATGGCTCATTACAGTTGCAGCCACTACAATTGATAGGGCTTTTCCAACCGCCATTACACTCAGAAATAACCTCACTTTGTGGGTATGCTACAACTACTTCTATATCAAATCGGTGAAATATGCTATCTATAAGCTAACACATGATGTAAATATTGTTATAACGTAGGGACAATCCATTGACAATGGTAAACATAATCTTGGATTTGTTGGCCTCACATACTCTGAACGCATTGCTCGTGATCCATCGGTTGATTTAGCGTGAGACCTTTCTTCCTTCTTCATTACACGCACACACGGGTGGGAGTCTACTTACTCTAGCAGTAACTCTTTTAATAGTTAAAATTTCTCACATACTTTCTATGTTTTCCTTTCAAGCAAGGATTGTCAGTCGGGAAGTCTGAACGAAACAAAAGCAGCAGGCAAAATTGTTCTATGCTTTTCAGTATCGGATCAACAAGATATTGTTTCTGCAGCACTTACAGTGAAGGAAGCGGGTGGAATTGGACTAATTTATGCACAGCGTCATGAAGACGGACTCGGCGAATGTGGTATACTTCCATGTATTAAGGTAGATTATGAAGTAGGAACACAACTATTAACCTATATTAGACGAGCAAGGTGAGGAAATAATGCATAGATTCACATCGCTGATTCTGAAATTTTCTTTCGAGCTAAAAATTAATATTAAGCTCGTGTCGAAGGTTTCCAGCTGCAAGGATGAGTTTGCCGAAGACTGTTATTGGAAAATGGATATCTCCAAGAGTTGCATCTTTCTCATCTAGAGGACCTAGTACCATGTCTCCAACTGTGCTAAAGGTATATATAGCCCAACCTTAACTCTTACTTGCAAGCGTGATTTGTTTCTATTCAACTAGACCAAGTTTCTGAAATTTTGAGACAAAAAGTGAATGAAATATATATATATATATATATATATATATATATATATATATATATATATATATATATATATATATATATATATATATATATGATAGCCATAAGTTTCCGAGGCACATGCAATCGCGTAAGCAAAATATATGAAAGAAGAAATTTGATTTTAAATACTCTTACTCAGTTTTCAATTTATGATGTGATGAAAATCTGTACTCTTCCGGGGATGATTCATGGAGATAGCCTGACATAGCTGCACCTGGTGTGGACATTTTGGCTGCATTTCCACCTAAGAGAACTAAAAAGAGCAGTGGCTTTACAATCTTATCTGGAACTTCAATGTCATGTCCACATGTGGCAGGAATAGCAGCACTTATCAAATCCGAACACCCAACTTGGTCACCTGCAGCCATAAGATCAGCTTTGGTAACAACAGGTAAGTCAATTAACAGGCCGTCTTTGAGTACGTGTAAAATGGGCTACCGCACAAGATCCAAATACGCTATAAAAACTAACTAGTTGTTACATTGAAAATTGCAGCCTCTCAAAGTGGAACTGATGGAAGTCTTATATCAGAAGAAGGTTCCACAAATAAGGCAGCAGACCCATTTGACATTGGGGGCGGGCACGTGGATCCCAACAAAGCAATGAATGCAGGACTCATATACAACATCACCACAGAGGATTATATTCAATTCCTATGTTCCATGGGTCATAATACAGCATCCATTAGAAAAGTTACCAAAACAACTACAAGTTGCAACAAACAAAAAAGCAAAACACTGATAAACCTTAATCTTCCTTCCATATCGATTCCCAATTTGAAGAGGGATACAACAGTAGTGAGAGCAGTGACAAACGTTGGAAACATAAATGCAGTCTACAAAGCTGTAGTGAAGACTCCATATGGTATAAAAGTGAAAGTTGAACCTCAAATTTTGAGGTTTAAATCCGATACTAAAGTTCTTACCTTCAATGTAAGCTTCATTTCAACACAAAAGTTGCATGGAAATTACAGATTTGGAAGCCTAACATGGACAAATGGAGAGCATTTGGTGAGGATACCAGTAGCTGTTAGGACCATACAATTTGAATCTTAAACAGATGTTGGAAATTTGTTTGTATATATATTCTTTGAGGAATATATAGCATACTAGTACTACGGATTATACTAAAAGACTTTTTAGATTAAAAACGTTGCTTGGATTTTGCAGTTAAAAGTTTGTTAATTTGTATAGCTTTTCAAATCAAGGACATAACTGCTAGAAAGTTGAAACTTAATTTGTAAATAGTGTTAGAAACAAATGACCACAAATTTGATGGTGGGTCTTATGATACTGGTTAAGGTAGATATTTATATGATTTGTTCTCAATCTAAAATTATATGCAAAATGTAGCACTTCAAAGTACATTACTGAAACAGGATACAGAAATTCATTATGTTGCTGTTGTTGGATGTCCGCTAAGCAAAAAGACATCTATAAAGTAATTAGTATGATTTTATTCTATCTAGTAGATAATGAACATTTGTTGCCCCTAACAAGTAGCATGGTTTTACAAATTGTATTGCATTAAAATTCAAAACAAACAAAAGAGGTCTAAATTATAAGGTTTCTGTTTACTAATTTACAATACGACTACTGCCAAACAAGAATATGGAAACAGGATTTATCCCCTCATACAAAAGAAACAAGCTAGCATACAATGTCATAACATTACAACAATAAGCAGATAACCTACCAAGCAACTCAGAGAGGAATATAAAAACGTAACAAAATTTATGACGGCAGAATGACACTTATGATGGAGCGCCTAGATATGAAGCAAGTCGTAAAATATCACTAAATATTCCACCCGCTGTGACTTGAGCACCAGCTCCTGGACCGCGAACTATCAGAGGTTGATTCTTATACCTTCTTGTTGTGAATGCAATTATATTATCGGACCCAGACAATTGTGCAAACGGATGATCCTTCTTGTAACTTCGCAGCTCTACAAATCCTTTTTTATTAGTCACATCCACCACTCCCACGTATCTCAATACCTACATAGGAAGCTCGGACTCAGTTGTAAATATGATATGAAAAACAGAAAAATGAATAAAAGAGACAGAAAAATGTCATGTTGAAAAGTATAACAAGTGGTACTACAATAAAATATCAAATAATAGCGAAAGACACTTAGCTAGAACTCGTCAACCCAACATAAGTCAACCGTTACACTTTTTACTTTAGATGCTATTTTACTTTAGATCAGGGTATATATGGCTGCCTTGAAACATCTAAACTTACTTCTTTTTTTATGACAAAGTTTAGGTTAGTTGGATCATCACACACTAAATTTGCTTCCCATCCGTCCTGTGATCGCCTACTTTTGTTACATTTGATCGCCTACTTTTGTTACATTTGATCGCCTACTTTTATTACATTTGAAAGGATAACGTTTCAACCTTGCTTTTCTTGGTTTGTAGGCTTAAATTTTATATGGATGAAGATAGTTTTTGTAGGCTTAAATACTAACAACGCCAATTGTAAGATGAATGTATCATGCATTGACATAGTAAATGCAACTATTCTTTTAGATGCTTTAACAAAGAATATAATATCTTCAAAGTTACTCACTTCCCCGGCATTCTCAGCATCTTCTTGTTTCTTTGCAAACTCCGGGTCAAATTTTGGTAGCTGTTGCATGAACTCCTGAGCAGATGCACACACCTGAATGAAATAATCAAAGCATCCATGTCAAGCAAAATGCTTTGTTCTAATACTAAGAACTGCATGATGTATGGAAATTAGTTCTTACTCGCAGTGGTTCTGGCACTAGACTTTCAACTGGAATATTAGACAGTTCTAGCTTTAAACCAGATTCTCTTGCCAGAATTATCACCTGTACAACCACAGAACTTTGCAATTTTGATTTTGAATTACCACAGTCATCGAAGAATTATATGAAACATGTAAATGCTATTGTGAACCAAAACTGACATTGTGATTAATCCTACCTCTAATTTATTTTTATCATGAAAAATACACACCTAAACATACTAGCTTTATTTCCTCAGTCAAGTCTTCTCATTGTAATTACATGTATATGCACTTATATCACAAAATGGGAATATACACATCAATATACATGTGTACGAGAGGGTAGAGTTCTAAAAGGAAAGCATGGATATAGGTGCAGAGAATCATGTAACTGTAAAAAGAGAGTAAACTGCACAGCAACAAAGCACTAACACCCAAGCCTTATGTCAGGCGACAGGTACATCTCATCAACAATACCATTGGACACTAGCAAGATCAAATATCTCCTAAATTATTATTAGATTTAGATCTGCCTCCATCTTTTTACTAGATTATCTTCCATTGTATCTAGTTTCCTTTTCTTAGTATGAGACCAAAAGAAAAGGAGAAGAATTTAATATATGAAAGATTCAAATTTCAATTTGTTTTTAAATTTTTATATTGTATTAGTATTTCAATATTTAAAATGTCATATTTTGAGCTTGAACTCAAACGTCAATAAGTTGATAAGTAGACATGGATTAAGTCCAAATAGCTTAACCAAATCAATCTCAAAATCCAAAATATTTAATTTGGGACATTTAAACTACGGCCATAGTCATAAATCCCAAACGGAATTGAAACACATGATGACAAAATTTGGTAAACATGTACCTTTCTAGCAACATCTGTTCCAGACAGATCCTCCCTTGGATCAGGCTCAGTATAACCAGCTTCCTTTGCTTCACCAACTACCTCGCTAAAAACCCGGCCATCTTTGAAGTTATTAAAGATGTAACTCAAAGTCCCACTGCAGAGTCACAGGAGATGCCTTATGGTAAATGCTAAAGATCAATTAATAATGCCGATAGACACTAACACTTGAAAAATTAGTCTAATTTTTTCCCTGTATAGAATGGAAAATTGCTGAAGGGTGGACAAATGACATTGAGTGAAAGAGCATTTAAGTCTCAAAATCTGGGGACAACAAAGGTCCGTACCAATCCACAAATTAAGACAATTACGACAACACCAATCAAAGCCTTTTCCTAACCAGGTAAGTTAACTACATGGATTATACACTGACACAAGATAAATAGAAATAACATGTAACAGCAAACCTGAATATGCCTTCAATTTGCAAAATTTTGTCTCCAGTTTCAAGGAGGCCACGCAAAGTGCTGACTATAGGTAGACCGGCTCCAACAGTAGCTTCATAGAAGTAATGAGTGTAGGATTGCCTCTGAAGAGCTCTTAACTTGAGATACTGGAAGGAGAGAGTTAAGGTGAGAGAAAGCCACAAAATTTGTCATGACTAAGATACAAACAAAAGAAGTAACTTCTACTGGCAGCAGCTGCTGAAACTTGAAGAAAGGTTGAACTTTCAAAATTACAAAAAGTACTACTTTAAAAAGTCTATAATGCAGTAGTGCGTTCAGAAGAGCATGATCCTCAGCTCAATTTCAGCAGTGTTGTTCCAGTTTATGCTAACAAAAAAGTGTCAAGTTATTCTACTCCCACAACGGTAATTTATAAGATGAAATTTTGGTCTTCTTAAAGAGAGAAGGGGACAGAAGCCAGAAGAAAGAGGATTACCCTTTTTTTCTTAAACTGATAATACTTTCAAAAAAGAAAAATTGAAAACAAACAAGCCTCAATTGATGTATGGGAATTTCCATTTCCAGCAGAATAATACTAAATAGGTTTGAAATTTCATAAACATACGTTACAAATAACAGGAGACAAGTCAAAAACAACTAACAGTATTCTATCCATCAAAAGGACAGCATGGAATACTTTACCTGATCCAGTGGCCCTGAATTAGCTTTCTTATTGGGGGTAATTACATGTATTCCTTTGCGCAACCAATCATAGTAATTTTCAGCAATGACAGGATCAGCTGTGCAGTCTACTAATGCCGTGTTTGGAATAAAATGATTTCCGTGCACGTGCTGAACAAATTTTTCCAAATTAGCCACTTCTCCTCTTTCCTCCCGGAGTTCTTTCCAGCTTGCTAAGTCAATACCCCTGCAAAGAGCAATTACATTACAAAATACTTGAACAAGAACCAATCTTGTCAATAGTGCACTGATATCATAATGTATTTTGTAACTGTAGCTCCATGATGTGCATTGGCCAAAGAAATCCTCTTGTCAAAGTTGACCTTAAGTAAGCCAGAGTCATGAAACTAATCATAGAAACCCTAAAATCGCTCATGCTAAGAAGGGGTTATGTAGTAAAAGTGTTATTATCTTTCTTTTATGCATACAATTTTCTTAATATGTGTGACAATGTCAAATGGGTCACTCATTTGGGATGGATGGAGTATATAATAAGCATTAGTACGTTTTAAAAAATGAAGAAATAAATTTGTTTGAAGTTCTCTTTCTCGAACAAAAATGCTCTAAGATGTATGCAAGCAACAGAGCATAACTACGGATCATTTAGAAAGAGAGATTCAGTTCAGAGTAATTTCACTTACGCATCACTGAGAAGCATTGACTTTGAACCGAGTATGCCCATTACACGCAAATCAATGTTAAATTCTTCTTTCAGAACTGAAGCCTGCATTGAATAAATTGTTGCATGAGCTTGCCACATATTTCAAGAAGCCTTCTGTTACATACAAATATGAAATATCCAAATGACTATGCTTAGCAAGCCAGATTGCCAGCATCATATTTAAGCATGGGACTGTAAAACACTTCCCACTGGTCAAATCAATCCTCTATTAATACAAGTGGAAAAAGTGAGAATTGGAAATACGTAAGAATGTCGGAGTAAGGCAACTAAATACCCCAAGTAAGAAAGGAACAATAATTGAGTTGTGATCACAATATCATCCATGCATGAGTTGGCACATCGTTTACAGAATTTGAACTCTTGATCTATTATCATCACAACTTTCCTATTTAAATAAGATGGCAACTTTAAAAGCTCTCAGTAAGGTTTTAGATTAAGAGAGATGATAAAGATGTTGAATTATGAATATGGTTCGATATGAATTGATGACTATGATTTTATACTAAAAGACTAAAGGCCGAGCCTTATTTCTACTAATACAAGACTCCAGATCTAATTAAATGGGAATACAAATCATGATAATAACGGTAGAAAAGCATATGGGTGATAATTGTATATTTTATTATGAAGGAAAAATGGCTCCTTTTATAGGAGAAAATACAAAGTCAGCTCCATTATTTTAGGAGTGATATAATGACTCTTAATTAAGAAAATAAATAATACTAAAGAAGTGATTATGAGCTATGCTTATAGCGGCCTTGTTGTCACAGTACAATTTCAATGGAGGTTCTACCTCCACCTTCAGTTCTTTTAGGACTCTAAGAATCCACATACCATCACAAATTCCTTGGGCCATTTATTGTACCCCAAAATTTGCCCTCTCATGTTCTCCAAGACTGTCTCTTACATAGATGGTTACAAACACTTGATGGAAGAAAATAAAATTTTTTGAAAATGAACAAAGGTGTCTTCGATTGGCATCTGAACAGGATGTCCTTCGATTGGCATATGGACAAAGAGCTTCGATTGGGCATCTGGGACCCTTCGAGCGATATATGTCTCACAAGCTTCGATTGGGCATTTAAAACCCTTCGATCAAGCTTTGTTCCATCAGCTTCGATTAAGCGTTGGGCCCCCTTTGATCAAGTTCAGTTCGCAAGGCACACAAGGCCAAGACTTCTTCAGATTTGCCTTTAACCCACTAGGCAGAAAACTTCCTTCGACCCACAAGGCAAATACCTCCTTCGTGTCTGATTCGATTCACTAGGGAATGGCCTCTTTTATGCTTGCTTTGGCCTCCCTCATGCTAGCGTCCACAAGGCATTGGCTGCCTTTTTGCCAGCTTCGACTGGGCAATGGTCCCCTTTGAAACAGTTTCGACTCAATGAATCAAAAGACGCACAGTTTTCCACACTTCGACACGCATGATAGTCCCTTCGAAGGCGCATTCATGTGGTCCCTTCGAAGAAGCATTCATTGGTCCATTCGAAAGACACATGATTATTGAAATCAAGTTTGCTTTGTGATGAGTCTTGGTCCAAGATGCTTGCTGGCCAAAATCCTGCATGCTGCCAAGCCCCCTGCACAAGCACATTCCTGCCAAAGGAAGCTTCGACTGGCCAGAATGAAATCTTTCGATTGGACTAGTTGAGTAGTGTCAGAGCAATCGAAGAGACCGAACTTAGGGGCTGATCGAAGAAGCCAAGATGTTGAGGTCTTGTACAATTCGAATCAAGATCCAGAGTCAATCGAAAAGTAAAGATTTGAGGGGCTTTCGAAGAAGCCCTGATAAGGGAAACTCTGAACAGGTTCGAATTGGAATTCAGAATCATCAAAAAGAACAATGCTCTGACGAAGAGATGCAGATGGTGAATTAATTGAAGAAACCCTGATAAGGGAAACTCTAAACAGGTTCGAATTGGAATTCAGAATCATCAAAAAGAACAATGCTCTGACGAAGAGAATTCTGGACAATTCGAATTGATGCAGATGGTGAATTAATTGAAGAAACTCTGACAAGGGAAAACTCTGAACAATTGGAATTCAGAGTCATCAAAGATCTGAGCAATTCGAATTGATGAGGATGGACTCAATCGAAGGAGCTATAAGAACGAAACCAAAGTCATTCGAAGGAGGCAACTCAGGGCCAAATGAAGAGCAAGGCTGGAAGGTATTCGAAAGAGTCAAATGTGTCCAGGTTCACTCAAGATTTCAAAATGGCAAGAATTATCCAAATATGACCAACCTTCAATGTGTTGGATTCTTGTCTCATGACCTTCAAAACCTAGTTAATGGTTGTCCATTCCCATTTCCATGCACCCTCACATCCCTATAAATACAAAGCCAGACACATACACAAAGGACATTCGCCAGGAGACTAGAGACAGAGGCCCAGGAACTACACATATATTGCCTTACACGCATACACAGCCTAAGAAGCATACCAAAAATTCTCAAAAATTCAACAAGATCACACCACACTTGCCTCTCTCCTTTCGAATCCAAGAGCATCCAACAATTCCAGTCCACACACAAGTTCCAGTTTCAAGCAAGGTAAGTCCTCTTGACCTTGCCTCTCTCGTTTCAGCATAACATGTAAATAGATAGCTTTTCACTTGTTTTTCGTTTCAGCATAACATGTAAATAGCCTTTCACTTATTTTTCGTTTCAGCATAACATGTAAATAGCCTTTTAGTTATATTTTTCGTTTCTGTCATTTTTGTTTGTTTGCTTTTCTTGTCCAAATATATGTTGGAACTAACCTGTACAGACTCAAATGAAAGACAAAAAGGGTGTGAACGAAGGATATACATTCATGCTGCTCTGCAGGTCCATATTGCTTCATAGTCTAATCGAAAGAAGCAGAGAAGGTTGCAATCGAAGGTTGCTCACACCAACTCCCAAACTCAATCGAAAGAAGCAGGAAAAGGTGCAATCGAAGGCTGCTCACGCCAACTCCCAAGCTCAATCGAAAGAAAGCAAAAGAAGGGTGAATCGAAGGAGTCTACTGCCTGGATCGAATGACTCACTTCCCCTCTTTATTTTGTTCTTGTTTTTACATTTTCTTGCCTTGCAATTTGGTTGTAATAGCGTAGGACACTTATTTTCCGCATTTTCTATTGCTTTCTATTAACTGCTACATGTATGACTAATAGGATTGTATGGCAAAGATTAAAATCAAAACGCTAGCAAACCTAACAAAAAAGACAAAAATAACTGAATATAACACACATTGCACATATACACCTCTAGGGTACCCCACTTCGGTTGCCTTCGAAAAATAGTCACAACTCTCGAAACGTGAGAGGTTTTAGTGGCTACCCTCTGGTTCAAAAAGATCATAAGTCCCTCGATGACCCTCTCGACGTTGCCTCGGTAAAAATATGATCTTAGACCCCTAGGGTAGTTACTAAAACTTCTTGCCATGTTGCCTTTGTGACTATAAAAACGTCCCTTCGAATGTCCCTCAAACATTCAACGATGGGGCTACCTAATAGTAGGATAGTACTGTCTAAAGATAGGAGGAAAAGAACGAACATTTTCGAGTATAAGTAGACAGTTCTTAAATGCTTGCTCAAAAACAATCTTTTTGCACTTACACAAAACATTTCAAAATACTTTCAAAAACATTCGATTTGTCAACACTCTTGAGGATTGATACAAGAGTTATCATAAAGCAAATCGCCGCACTAAGGTATTTTAAAAACTACTTTTTCAAAGCACAAGGTATTTTCAAATGAGCTAGCATCTAAGAGCCCGTAGAAAACTACGGATGGAAAGGGTGCTAACACCTTCCCTTTCCATAATCTACCCCCCTTACTCAGAAAACTCTCGAAAAGGTCTTTTTCTGTTCTTTTCACCATTTCCTTAATTTAGATAAAATAAAAGTCGGTGGCGACTCTTGCTTACCGCAACATTTGCAAACACAAACACAAAACCAGTATAACAGTCGGTTATACCACTGTATTACACCATTGCTCTAAACTCAGCTTCAGCACTACTTCTTGCAACTACTCCTTGTTTTTTGCTTCTCCGAGTCACTAGGTTCCCCCACACATATGTGCAATAACCTGGAGTTGATTTTCTATCAATAATGGATCCTGCCCAATTTGCATCAGTGAATATTGCCATATTTTTATCATTGGTCTTCTTGAAGAATAACCCTTTTCCAGGAGTTGCTTTTAAGTATCTCAAGATTCTGTGCACAGCTTCAAGGTGTTCTTCATATGGTGCATGCATGAATTGACTCACAACACTAACAGAGAAAAATATGTCAGGACGAGTATGAGCCAAATATATTAATTTTTCAACCAAACTTTGATATCTTCCAGTGTCAACTGGTGTGTCCCTTTTCTCCCAAAGTTTGGCACTTTGGTCCATCGGTGTGTCGGCAGGCTTACAACCACTCATATTTGTCTCTTGTAGGAGATCCAGAACATATTTTCTCTGAGAAACAACGATTCCTTTCTTTGACCTTGCTACTTCCATGCCAATGAAATACTTTAGGGGACCCAAGTCTTTGATTTCAAAATTTGCTGCTAAGTTTCATTTTAATCTCTCCATTTCTATCACATTATTATATGTAAGAATAATATCATCAACATAGACTATCAAAACAGTTATCATTCCATTTTGACCTGACTTTGTGAATAAAGTATGATCTGCTTGTCCTTGAGCATATTCCTGTTTCTTCACAGACTGAGTAAATTTTTCAAACCAAGCTCTTGGAGATTGTTTCAACCCATACAAGGATTTCTTTAGTTTACACACATGTGACCCAAACGTTTCTTCAAAACCTGGAGGACAATCCATATATACTTCTTCTAAATCCCCATTGAGAAAGGCATTTTTGACATCTAGCTGATGGAGAGGCCAGCCTAAGTTAGCAGCAAGGGATAAGAGTATTCTGATTGTGTTAAGCTTTGCAACATGAGCAAAGGTCTTTGAGTAATCTATGCCATAGGTCTGAGTGAATCCTTTTGCAACCAATCGAGCTTTGTACCTTTCGATTGATCCATCATAATTGTACTTTATTGTGAACACCCACTTGCATCCCACAGTTCTTTTACCTGTTGGCAGAGTTGTGGCACTCCAAGTTTTATTCTTTTCAAGAGTTTTCATCTCCTCAAAAACAGCTTCCTTCCACTTGGGAATTTCTAGAGCCTCCTGTACATTCCTAGGAATTTTGATACTAGATAGATTAGAAGTAAATGCAGCAAAAGAGGGAGACAAATTTGAATATGATACAAAGTTAGACAAGGAGTGCCTAGTACATGGCCTACCTAGCTTCCTAAAGGCTATGGGAACATTAAGATCAGTATATTGTTTCCTAAGTTCTATAGGGACATCAAGGTAGGTATATAGAGAATTGGGATCAAGGAGAGATTTACCTGTCTGAGTCGGTTTACTTTCACTCGGTTCACATTCTTGGTTGAGCTAAAGAATAGGATCTTCTACTACTTGATCATTGTTTCTTCTGACATAAATTTTGCCTTTCCAAATTGGATTTCCTTCCTCAAATTTTTTTTCTATTTCATTATAAGGATCTTTATCTGGTGCATTTTGATTAATTTCAGAGAAAAAAAACATTTGTTTGATCTTTGTTTTATTTGTTGTCTCGGATTCTGATTGATCCATACTCATGGAAGGAGTATGTTCATCTTTCAAGTAGTAGAGTCCACTACTTTCCTCAGCAGTGTCAATCGCCCTCCCCGAGATCAAATCCTAAAATACACAATTAATATCAAAGAAATGAGCTTGACAGTTTTTATTTTTGGTTAGCTTACTGACAGATAATAAGTTGCAAGACAAATTTGGAACATGTAACACATCTTGGATGGTTAGTAAGGGAGACAAAACAATAGAACCTTTTCCTGCCACGACTAAAAGAGAGTCATCATCTATTTTAATTTTGGAATTTCCTGCACATGGTTTATATGAAGAAAATAAACTGGATTCACCGGTCATATGATCGGTGGCTCCAGAATCAACGATCCGCGTACGATTAGGAATGACACTAAGACGGGCTGATTTTGGGAAGTTACTTTTCTGGGCTATGGAGCACGAAGGAGTTTGTACATTTGGCTTAGTTGTTCCTTAGTGAATGGAAATGCATTTGGGGAAGAATGTGGCTCTTGATCAGAAGTTGCTTGAAGTGCACGACCCTCACCCTTCTTTTTCCAATTAGGATGTGTTGTTGCAGGCATCGGAACATCACCGGTAAGAAAATCCAACTTCCATTTGCCTTCTAGAATAAGTTGAACAGCTTGGGACCATTCAACGTAGTTTGAGTCATCCAGTTTCTGAACATTAACCTGAAGAGAGTTATTTTGACCTCCACCTTCTAAGTTACTGTAACCACTATCAAATGGATAGTCATAACCGGACCCAAAAAGGTTGTTGTTGGGATCACCTCTGCCATAACCGAATCCACCGTTAAAATTATTGTTTGTCATGAAACTGGGCATTTCTGACATGGTAAATCCACTTCCTCTACCGTAATTGTTGGTGTCGCCGGAATAGACCTTGGCGTCGCCGCCGGAATTGTTGTTGGCGCCGCCGCCTCTGCCTCTACGACCTCCGGGAGGAGGTGGTGTTTGGGTAGGGTCCACCATAGTTTGGATGGTTGGGTCGAGTAAAAGAACGGGTCCTAACAGAGCTTTACAGTATATCCCGAACCCCACTAATTAGGGAAAGCTTTACAGTATCACCCTAGCCCTGACAGAGTTCATGATACCATGTAAAAAAACATATGGATGATAATTATATATTTTATTATGAAGGAAAAAGGACTCCTTTTATAGGAGAGAAAATACAAAGTCAGTTCCTTTATTTTATGAGTGATATAATGACTCTTAAAATAATATAATGACTCTTAAATAAGAAAATAAATAATACTAAATAAGAGATATTTCAACAATAACTAAGTATGAATAACTAAGTATGAAAACTAATCTTAAAAGATAATGTAAAATACTCTTGAGGATAAGAAATTAATCCTATGAGATGATATAAGATGCTCTACAGTAATACTAAGATACTGTAATATGTTTCATATCTACTGACAGTCTCCCTCAAACTAAAGCTTACTAAGATTTTAGCTTTGTTCCAAGTACCTTCCAAAAGAGAAGTGCTTTATCTTTATCTTGTAAGGAGCAATGCTTCAATGATTAAATTTTTCTGGGTTCATTCGGTCTGTGTTTTTCCCGTTTACACTACAGTGGAAACACAAGTATCGCATTTTCTATGGGTTTTTTGCTCATAACAATTCGGGATCAAAACACTTTGCCCAGAAGCACATGGTTTCAACCTGAACCATAAACTCGTACAGTATGGTGTATTATCTGAACAAGTAATTATTAAGGTCAAACCCATAAAAAAAATTGTTTTCAAGTGATTTGTATTTGACATGAATGGTCAATCTTGACAATACCCATAAGAGAGGCTTTTATATTTACAAGTAAAAATACAGAATTTTAGGAAAATAGTATTTGACAATACCAAAAGAATGAGTCGCTCAATAGAACTTTGTGAGTTGCATATTAAAAGCAGTTTCTAGAAAGATTAACTGTGATTCACCAAAGGCATAAAAATTTCACATTACTAGTGAACCATATGGTGCCACCTATTCGAGCAACAATAAAAACTTTTCCAGAAGTGAAAAGACTTATATACTACAATGATGTGGTACATTTGTTTGCTACAAAGATGTTTTAATCTATGACATTACACAAAATACCCAAGCTTGAAGTCCAATCCTAGTGGCATACATGTGGTGGCACCTTTTGTTTTCTTACATTGACACCGGATCATAATTAAACTCTTCTATAAAATATGAATTACATAATGCATGTCTATATCCAGGTGCAGTTTCATAATATAATAAATTCTTTGTTATTTTAAGTGAATTCAATCCTTCAATAACCGTAACTTTGCTCAAGTGCAATCTGATATGCTAGAAAATAGAGTAATAACAAAGGACAGTAAAAGGCAAAATACACATCAAAACATACAAGGTATGACCAAAATAAAGTGAAATTGTCTGTGGAAACTGCACCTGATCCCTTAGCTGATCAAGAAGTGTGCTCCCAATTAATCCCGGTCCAATAATGCCCATTGCAATGGTGGTTCTTGAGAGATAAAATCTAGAATGGACAGCCCGTAAAGCTTTTATACAATCCTCCCGCTTAACAACAACAGTAATATTATACTCAGAACAACCTTGTGCTATGGCACGGACATTTATACTGGCCTGTTTCATAGCAAGTTTGACCATAAACAAGTTAAGCGAAATAACATTATGCCAAAATTTCTAACCAAAGCAAAGTATTGCCATTCTTATAAGATGAGCATAATTTCCTAACCTTGGCCAATGCGTTGAAAAGGGTGGCACTAACTCCAGGAGTGCTTGCCATTTTCTGGCCAACAGCCGCCAAAATGCTACAATTCGGGATAATTGCAACCTGGGAGGTGCTACATAATTTAGAATGTAATAAAGGTAAAATAAATAACTTAAAAGGCTTAAATTTTCAACAGCATTCAATTACTTGTACTAATTTAGACTCATCTACACAAAACCGACTTTCAAGATGAGAGATCAGATGACTCTCGCATATGAACATTTCTTAGATCATATTACATCAAATGCCAAATTCTCAACACATATGCTCACACCCATGACAGAAGATATGGAACGTGACACATGTGGCTCAATAGGGGTGGCCCAACAGATCTAAAATAATATACCATCTTAGAATTTGAGATAGATCTAACTCGGCCCCAGAAAATCAGTTTGTAAAGTTAGGGATGCCTCTCATTTATGGATCGCAATTGGACCCAAATTTATTGAGTACCTGCAAAATTACTCATGATGGAAAAGGTCAAAACCCACACAACATGGATATAGGCACGAGTAATTACATCAAAAGTGAGCAGATGCAGGCATCTTAAAACCCACCCCGCCCTGCATAATATAAATATTAAAAAATCAAATTTGTTACTCCCTCCGTCTCATAAAAAGTGTCTCATTTACACTTTTTCTCTTTCTCAAAATAATTGTTCTTTTACCATACCAATGCAACATTTATTATTATTTTCCACTACTATACCCCTATTTATTAACTTTCACTTTATTCAACAAATCTTTTAACTACAATTAATATGGGTATTCTAGTAAATGATGTTATTTTTATCATTAAAATCAACACATCTAATCATTTTCTTAAGAACCGTGCAATGCTCAAATATGTCACTTTTTATGAGACGGAGGGAGTAGATATCATTGATCCTTTGCAATGATACCAAGTTGTGTTTCTATTAACAAAACTGTCAGCACTTCGCAAGAAATTTCCAAAGGATCATTTTGCTTTATATGGCATAGAAACGCTTTGATTCTTTCATCAATCTAGAACAGAAGCACCAGACAAAGTGTCTCTTAGTCCTAGCAGTTTATGTCTGCGTCACTGATAATGTACCCTCTTTTCCAGACCATATTTGGCGGTCTAAACCTTGAATATTTATTTTAACCCTAACATTCCATCATTGTTTATTAGGAGGGAAACATTAAAGGCTTACACAATAAAGACGGAATATATGAGACAAAATAATCTGACTTTTCATTCTTTATCCACTTCAAAAATTAGGAGCACTACACAAAAATGGTTCATATGGTCTTTCAATCCACATAATGTATAATGATAAATCGCCAGTCTATGGTATTAACAATGTTATGGTACAATTGAACAGAAATCTGCATTTGGTTATAGTGAAAATTAGAATCGGATTTAGCACCTGAGAAAGACGCCCATTATCCAAAGCTTGACGAAATCTTGATTGCAATGCCTCGGCAACAGCTTTTACTTCCTTCTCGGGAACAGCAAAGCATACAGAATGCTCACTACTAGCCTGCATAAAACTTGTTAATGACGGCGGAAATTTACTATATCTCTGTACCAACAACTAGAAAAGGCGTGAAAGATCACAAGTGCACCTGAGATATCATGATAACATTAGCTCCAACATCTTTGACTGCACTAAAAATATCACTTGCTGTACCTGGAACACCGGCCATTCCAGTTCTACCAAAAAAATACAACAAAGAAAAGCACATTGGAACTTCAGCTCGAGGGATTAGTATAGGTTATAGAATATCATAAATTAAACAAAAATCTTAGAGCAGCGAGAATGAAAACTACAAATAAGTGCAAAGTGACTGCAATTCAAGGCTCACCCACCCCTCAACATTTACAAGTGCCAAGTTGTCTATAGTTGCAAATCCTTTGACAAAATTTTGCAGATTCGCCCTATCTTCATCATCATTAACAGCAGGGTGACATATCTTTGTCCCAAGAGCAGAAAGGTTGAAGATATTCCTTATCAAAATGGGTATGCCATATTTCATGACAGGAATTATTGTGCGGGGATGCAAAACATTAGCTCCAAAATAAGACTGTACAGCAGGCAGTTTGAAAGTTAATATCATTACTTTTGATAAGCATTGTCAAAAGTGGCATAGATGATTTCCCTAGTCCAACTCACCATTTCCCATGCCTCTTGATAAGACAATGTCTTCAAAATCACAGCTTCACTGACTGCAGAAGATATCATTGTTTATGCTAAATAAAAACTCCATGCTAAAACAGTTAAGCATATAACAAAAAAGATTCACCAACATATTGGAGGTAGAACTTATTTTTGGTTACTAGAAAAGATTATCATAATCTACTCATTGTTCAATTTGGTATCAGCACAAACCTTTTCTAGGATCCGCACTATACACACCATCTACATCTGTCCAAATTGTGACCTGACCAGCTCTAAGTAAAGAGCCCATAATTGCTGCAGAGAAATCACTTCCATCTCGCTTCAATGTAGTAGGAATGTTTTTAGGTGTGCTTGCAATGAACCCAGTAGCAATGATTACCTTACATGGATTCCGAGAGTACCATTTCTCAAGTCTTTGCTCAGATTCCAAGTAGTCGGGATCAACTTGATTAGAACTAGTAGGATGAACAATCAAAACTTCCCTTGTATCCATCCATTTGCAGTCAGTTCCATTCTGCAGAACCATAAGGGAAGAATGATGCAATTAGCTCAAGATAGATAATTAAAGGGAAAAACATATCTTTCTAAGTAAAACATCTTACCTTCCTGATAACTAGAGACAACATCTGGGCAGACCATAATTCTCCATGTCCTACAACAAAATCTGCAAAGGATTCCGTCGCGTGACCAGCTGCAAGGTGTTAAGAATGTTAGTTGGGCTGATGATGTGATTCCTTAATGCATAAACTAGTCGTTAATAACAGTGTCCTACAACAATGAATGGCTTTTGGTTTAAATATATTTTAGGTCCTCTGCAAATATATCATTTTTTGTTTCTAGTCCTTGTAAAAAATGTTTAGTCCTTGCAAATATACAATTTTTTACTTTTGGCCCTTGTTGTTAATTTAATCTCTGCAAAATTTATCCATTGGTCCCTATAATATGTAGAATTTTTGACTTTTGTCCCTCTAAATAAGGACAAACTAATAAATATTACAGGGACCAGTTTCAATATGAACATATTTTGCAGGGATTAAAACAAAACACCAGCGATCAAAATAAAAAGTGGTATATTTGCATGGACTAAAAACAAAAACAAAAACAAAATTATAGGGGTTAAAATCATATTTATACCATGATTTTTTTTTACTTTTGATAACATGTATAAAAACTACTTTTCATCAACGTTCTGAAAGTCATGGGATCAGCTACATTTACTGGCTAACAGTCATATTGAATGAAAAATGCAGTCATCCTTTATGAATGCTAATAGCTTAAATGATAATTAGCACCTCCATATTCCAAAAAGACAGCTACCATTGTATTCTATGTCGTTTAGGTTCAGGTAAAAATGCAAAACTACTATTCTCAAGTCAGTTAATATATAAACTGATATCTTCCTAAACTATAAATGGAGATAAGTTTAAAGAATCCAATATCTACATGGAGCATCAACTGCCTAGTAAAAACACAAGTTTGACTCTCCAATGCTCCAATTAACTATTTCACACGTGTTTTCCACAAGTCACTGCAGACAATTCTACAAATGTTAACAAACCCGTGCATCAGATCATGGGATCACACAATTGTATGTGTTCTGCCCATCAAGTGGTGTTGCATTGCTGCTAGGATCAGGACAGAAAGGGATTGCAGCTAGATCATGTCATTCAACATTGTGACCTTGGGATCGTTTGAGGCAGTTATACCTTGAAGACTTGGACAGGAGCGGATTTAACACCGGGTTGGGTTTGACTTGGTTTCTGGAAAATGAAAAAAAAACTCTAACCCTAGGATTCAATTTTCACAATCCCTTTCTAGCAGAACAGAAACACAGTAACCAACCCTCCTCTCTCTCCCACCAGAGCTCCCTCAGCTGCTGTGACCAATGCTACCTCCCTGTGCCTCCGCCTATGACGAGCCGTCTGCAGAGCATCCGTGTCTCTGCAAACAGCTGCTATCTTCTGTTCTGTACATATCAGCCTATCCTTCAAACATCTGTTTTCTCTATTCTGTGCATATCAGTCTTTCCTTCTTCAAACAAATGCTTCTGTTCTTTTATTGAAATGAGTGTTTGTTCTCTACTCCAATTAAAAGCTGCTGTTCTCTGTTATGTATGTACTGCTGTTCTCTACTCCAATTGATGAGAAGAATTTCCTACTTTGACGCCAACAAGTAGATCATTTCGTTAACGCGAATAATCTTTAAAACTACCTTTACCTTCGTGACATACCGAATCAATACCTAACTGATGAAAATCGTGCATCTGCTCGTGAGAACCCTCTGTATTGCACCTGGATTACGCAAGATCAGTGGCTTATGACGTGGCTTCAATCCACGCTTCCACCTTCGATTCTTTCACGCGTTCTTGGATGCGTTCATTCCTATGAGCTTTGGGAATGCATTCTTGCGCATTTTCAAAAGCTTACACGTGCGAAAGCAAGACAACTACGAGCGGAACTCAGATCTACAACACTTGAAGACAAATCTGTTGGTGATTACCTGGTTCGCATCAAAGTTCTTGTTGATGCGCTTGCTTCAGTATGAGATCCAGTTCCAGATCAATAACACATTGATGTGATTCTTGAAGGTCTTCCTCAAGACTTTGCCTCTGTTATTTCAGTCATTGAAAGCAAGTTTGATTCAGTATAACTTGAAGAAGTTGAAGCTCTACTTCTTGCTCATGAGATGAGATTCAACAAGTATAAGAAACATTCTCAAATGGAGGTGGCTGCCTCAGTGAATATCACTCAAGCCAATTCTCAATCTGAAACTGATAACTCCAATAACAAGAACATTGAACAAGCTGTGAATTCAACCTTTAATCCAATGTATTCAAGAGGACGTCGTGCATCTGGCCGTGGTGGTGGATGCGGCCGTGGGAGAGGTAGGTTCAGCAACATTCAATGTCAAGTTTGCTTCAAATATGGTCACCTTGCCGCTAACTGCTATCACGGGTTCAATCAACAGTTTCAACCCAAGATACCTGCTGATTTTCAAACAATGAACCTACAAAATTTCTACAATCCGTATCAACCAATTGGTGGACCTCAGTTTGCTCAGCCCATGGTTAACACTTGGTCACGCCCAAGCTATCAACCAAGACTTGCTTCTCTCCCTGTTCCTCAGTCACAGATCACTCCCAAATGCTATGATTGCTAACACAGCTTCAGTTCCAAGCAGTACCTGGTCCCCAGACTCAGGAGCTTCTTATCATGTTACCAATGCCTCTCAAAACATACAGCAGACCACACCTTTTGAAGGTCCTAATCAGATCTTCATTGGTAATGGTCAAGGTTTGCACATTCACTCTTCAGGCTCTTCTTATTTTCCCTCTCATTCTAAACCCAACACTCCATTAGCTCTTCATAATTTACTGCTTGTTCCTTCCATTACAAAGAACCTGATAAGTGTCAGCAAATTCTATCTTGATAATAGAGTTTTCTTTGAGTTTCATGTTGATATGTGCTATGTCAAATCTCAGGCTACCAATGAAATTCTGCTCCAAGGTCGTGTAGGAAGTGATGGCCTGTACCAATTTTCCCATCTTCAGCTTCTTAAGTCTCCTTCAACAAGTCAAGTCTCATATCTCACCTTAGACTCTAATGCTCCTGTTTCAAGATCTGATTCCAGCACTAGTGATAGAGTTTCAGTTTCTAATCAAAATGTATCAGCTAATAACTCATATAATTCTCAACATACTTGGCATCTACGCCTTGGTCATCCAAATTCTAATACTATGAGACTTGTTTTAGCTCAATGTAATATTCCTTATTCTAATAAAGTTGAATTTGTCTTTTGTTCTGCCTGCTGTATGGGAAAGGCACACATAGGCTGCACTCCCCTCAGTCACAAACTCAATATCACTCTCCTCTTGAATTAATTTTCAGTGACCTATGGGGTCCTGCCCCAGTCAAATCCTCCCAAAACTTTACCTACTGCATCACCTTTGTTGATGCATACACTAGATTTACTTGGATCTATTTGCTCAAAAATAAAGCTGAAGCCTTAACTATCTTTAAACAATTCAAAGTCGTGGCTGAATTACAATTTGGATTTCCTATTAAATCTGTCCAAACTGATTGGGGTGGTGAATTTCGCCCATTTACAAAGTTTCTTTCTGATCTTGGCATTATTCATCGTCTAATTTTCCCTCACTCATCACCAAAATGGTGTAGTGGAGAGGAAGCATAGACACATTGTTGATCTTGGTTTAACCCTCTTGAGTCATGCCTCTTTACCTCTCAAATTTTGAGATCATGTCTTTTTAACTGTTGTCTACCTAAAAAATAGGTTACCAACCATGTCTATCAATCAACATATACCATATGCTGTCCTTTTCAATCAAAATCCTGACTATAAATTTCTCAAAGTCTTTGGGTGTGCTTGTTTTCCGCTCCTTCGCCCATACAACTCTCAGAAATTTGACTTTAGATCCCATGAGTGCCTTTTTCTAGGGTACTCTACAGCTCACAAAGGTTACAAATGTCTTTCTCCAAGTGGTAGAATATTCATCTCTAAAGATGTCCTTTTCAATGAGTCCAAATTTCCTTACAATGATCTTTTTTTCTCTAATGTTTCTCTCCCCTCATTAACAATTCCATCCTCCTCCTCATCTAAAGTAACCCTTAACACACAAGCTTTCCCTAATGTTTTTCCCGTTCCTACTGCTTCCACTACCTCACACTCCTCTTCTTCTCAATCCAATTCCAGCCACACACTTACTGTCTTTGTGCCAGCCACCCCTGTAACACAAACAACCAGCATTAATCCTACTCCTTCACCCTCTTCAAATGCCAACAATCAGCCTACTACTACCACTTCACCATCCTCCTCCTCTATTTCTGCTCCTAGGGATCCTAACCTTCAACCTCTCCCCACCAATACTCATCCTGTGACTACTAGAACTAAATCTGGTGTACCCTTACCTCATCTAAATCCTTCCATTTTTCTTGTCAATTCTGAGCCTAAGAGTGTTAAAACTGCTCTTCAAGATCCTAAGTGGTTTGTTGCTATGCAAGAGTATGGTGCCTTGATAAGGAACAACACTTGGTCTTTGGTGCCATTGCCTGCTAACAGGAAAGCAATAGGCTGCAAGTGAGTTTTTCGTGTAAAGGAAAATCCTGATGGGACAGTAAATAAGTACAAAGCTAGGGTTGTTGCTAAGGGGTTCCATCAAGTTCATGGATTTGACTTTAATGAAACTTTCTCCCTGTTATTAAACCGGTCACAATTAGAATTATTTGACTCTTGCTCTCACTTACAATTGGCCTCTGCAGCAATTGGATATAAACAATGCTTTTTTGAATGGCATTCTTGAAGAGGAGGTCTATATGATGCAACCCCTTGGATTTACTGCCCCTAATTCATCTCTGGTTTGTCACTTGCACAAGGCCTTGTATGGCCTCAAACAGGCCCCAAGACAATGGTTTGAAAGACTCAAAACTACTCTGTTATCCTTTGGCTTTCTGAACAGCAAGTGTGATACTTCATTGTTCATCTACAAGCATCATAGTGCTATCATTTATATGCTAGTTTAAGTTGATGATATAATCATCACAGGCAACTCTCCTCCTCTCATCAAGCAAGTTACTCAACAACTAAATCATGTGTTTTCTCTCAAACAATTTGGTGACTTGGATTATTTTCTGGGCCTTGAGGTGAAGAAACTATCCAATGGTAATCTCCTTCTCACTCAATCTAAGTACCTACGGGACTTGCTAATCAAAACTGATATGGAGAACTCCAATTCAGTTGCTACTTCTATGGCATCCACCACCAAACTCATCAAAACAGGGTCTGTTGCCTTGTCTGATGCTTCTCACTACAGGTCCATTGTAGGGGCCCTGCAGTATGCAACAATTACACGCCCAGAAATCTGCTATGCTGTTAACAAAGTATGTCAGTTCATGGCACACCCCTTTGAGTCCCATTGGCTAGTTGTCAAGCGTACTCTGCGCTACCTAAAAGGCACTATCACCTCTGGTTTATTGTTCACTCATGTCTCCACTGTTCCGTTCTCTCTGCGGGCCTACTGTGATGTTGACTGGGCTGCTGACCCAGATGATAGAAGATCCACCTCTGGGCCAGCTGTGTACTTAGGCCCTAATTTGATCTCTTGGTGGTTCAAAAAGCAAATTGTTGTTGCTCGTTCTAGTGCTGAGGCAGAGTATCGCAGCTTGGCTCACACCACAGCTGAAGTTTTATGGGTTCAAACTTTGCTAGCTGAACTAAAAATTCCCTTGACAACTCCAGCCATCTATTGTGACAACCAGAGCACAATTGCTATGGCTCATAACCCTGTTCTTCAAGCAAGAACAAAGCATATGGAAATTGACCTGTTTTTTGTAAGAGAAAAGGTCCTTAATAAGCCTCTCACTGTCTGCCACATTCCTGGTATTAACCAGAAGGCTGACATCCTCACCAAGCCTCTCTCAAGTTCAAGATTTATGGAGCTCAGCAGCAAGCTCAACCTGTCTGCCTCAAGTCAGCCTTTGCAGCCACCTTGAGCTTGTGGGGGAGTATTAGAGTTATATCTTAGGATATGAAAACTCAGCACTATAGAATAATTAAGCTCATCCTTAAATGTAGAGCTTGAATGATTCAATTCTTAAATATTCAACTCCTCTTGTATAAATAGAGCATCATGCTCCATTCCAATTCAACATATCTCACTCTTTTAGCTTTCTCTCTCTTCATTCTCATATCTCACTATAATAGGGTGGTGTAGCAAGAGTACTTAAAAATGCCCCCTGGAATGATTAAACAAAGCAAATGTTTCTGCCTCATCCTTTACCATCTTTTACTACTTGAGCTAATTTTGTAGATCTAACGCTTTAACAACCTAAACATAACTATTCTAACTAAGTACACTAAAGCCCTAATATTATATTATAAACAAAGAACTTAAGGCGATAATTGTTCTTCCAAGGGTTTTCCCTTCATAAAGAATTTTCTCTTTTTACAACATAACTAAGTAACTAACACTCAGTTACCAACTGATAACAAATTGTAAGGCTTCCTTTTCTACCCAAAGTTTCCAAACATAGACCATTCAAGCATAACACTATAACTAACTACTTTAGGGCCTTGTCATAATGCAATATACATTTACGTCAATACTATTGAAATGCAAATAAAATGTCAAAAAGTGAAAGATATCATCGCCAACATAGAAAGAAACTACGACAATAAGATAAAATCTTATATGCAAATTAGGATGTCTGAAATAAATAAATGCAGGTACAAACAGGGAAAACAAAGATAAATAAATAGGAAAATAAATGAACTTTTTGGGGCAAAAAAGAAGAACAAATTTCCAAAGGGGGGAGAGAGCTGATGTGCCTAGGACCTATGTATATTGCCCGAAGCATCGCCTTAAGGTTGTTGATGTCTTCATGCAATTTAGACAAGAAAATAGCAAGATTGTCTCCATCAAGTATGTCATGTGCAGTTGAGCTGTGCTTCTCCAAAACAGCATCCAAAGAAGATATATAAGTATCGTCACGTGATTGAGCCTTAGTGATAAGCTCATACATCATATCTGTCACCTTAGACATTGCAGAGACAACCACCAATCTCCTCTCTGAATCATCATTAAGAACTATGTCAGCAACATTTTTTATTCTTTGCGAGCTTCCCATACAAGTTCCACCAAATTTGTGAACAGACCAAGATTCTCCTTTTGAAAGCTGTTTTTCATTCACTGTCAAATCCAGAGAAACATCTGCCAGTAAACAAACATAAGAAAAATTTAATCTATAAATCATCAAACTAGCCTTCTTCAAAATACCAAACACAAATTCCAGCAAACAACTACTCATCCATAACAAAATATAAGCAAAATGGATCTAAAAAATCAAATGATTTGGTCTAAATTTTGGTACAAATACATTTGACTTTTTGGATATCCTTATTTTGTTACAACGGAACAGTTACGAACCTGTTAATGAAGCACATATCCTGGTGCTCGGTGACTCTCGTCGCTGAGGTAAAGCAATACCCTTTCTAAGACAAAATACAAAGTAATAACGTGAATTAATAGATAGAAATATACAAAATTCAAACTTCTGGTATGTGTACACACACATATACACACATTTACAAGTTATGAAAAATGGAGTTTGCTCGGCAAATAGTAAATACACAATAGGAAAACAGCAAAATATTCAGCATTTATTAACAAAATTCGAAAGCATGTTAAAACAAGTATATCTAAGTAAAACACATTGATTAAAAAAATTGAAAAGCAAGTAGCTACAGAAAGCTTCACGCGATCTATCTGACGAAAACCTAATTAGTGAAAGAAACAAAGAAAGATATGTACCGGAGAGAGTTGAAGCGGCGCGAGAGGAGGAAAGGATGGCATTGAGATTCAGGGATCTTGGTGCTCTCGTGCTGGAGAGAAGTGTTGGAGTTCAGTGAAATGCGAGAGAAGTGAGATAGCGATGCGGAAAGCGACGACGCCATGGCTGCTGTTTGCGCCGCGGAGAAAGAGAGGAGAGTGGTGAGTTTGGTTTATGGTAAAGCTGCTAGAAAGCAGTGAAGCTTTTCTAAAAGCTGGTTTGTGAATTTTGGAAATTAAATGGCACTATTCTTTTACTAGAAACCTACTTGATTTATTATATTTTTTTAGCTTTTGAATATTTTCGGTTTGGAAGGATAGAAATGTTTTATTCAAAATCTAGAAATACATAAAATAAAATAAAAAAATTAATCTAGAAGATGCTAGACACTTTCATTCTTATCTTCTTTTTTTTAATTTATACTATAAAATATCTTTATTAGTAATTTACTCAATATATTATTATTAATCAATAATATTTATTTATTATGTCAGGTGTCACGCAATTTTTTCAATTTTTGTTGAATCACTCATTTTGAATAAAGGAAATTAGACTGAGTAATAAGTTTTTATCCTCTCTTTCATTTTCTCTCTCTCTCATTTCAATTTTTGCGGTTTTCTCGCTCTTCCATACAGCTCATTCTCTTCTCTCTTTCCTTCCCCCAACTCTGGTCGTCGCAGCCCATTCTCTCTCTGTTTTATTCATCATTCAACCTCTGATTGAAAAACCAACGTCATATTCGTTCTATTCATCTCTCAACCTTTCTAATGAACTGAAACTATTTTTCTTTCGGTGAACGTTGTCGTCGACCCAGTTTATGGATTGTGGTTTCGATTTCATTTATACACTCTCTTTGTATTATCACCATGAAATTTACTTTTTCCTTGTCATGGTTTACAGGCATGGGATGGAGAGGGATTCTCTGAGAGTTTTGAAGCTAAACTCATTTTTCAAAGCTTTTGATAGGTACATCTTGGTTTTTTGTATGATTTTGGTTTTTGATTTCTTTAAGTTGATGAAACTTTATGTTGATATTTCTCTATTTTGTCTTTAACAGTGATTTTAAGGTGTTAATGTTTAAATTAGAGGTATTGATTAATGGGGCAATATAACTGCTGGAATTGTAACACTCCAATTATTTATTGAATTATTTTAATTAATTAATTGATGTTATGTATTTGTATGCATTGATGAGCATTTTGTTACAAGGTAATGCCTTGTTGTGGGATAGTTACCTTAGAAATTACGGATGTTAAGGTATTGGGGTGTATGACTAAAAGTGTATACACTTAGGAGTGGAAGGAGATTATTACTACTATTATTATTAAATTAGAATATTAGAATAATATGGTGATAATAATAATAAAATAATTATTTTAGTTATTATTATGTGGAAGAGTATAAGTGGAATATGATATTAGGGGTCTAGGGGCTAAACTAGTAAAAAGAAGGAATAGAAAGGGGAATCATATCATGTGGAATAATCGTAAGCTGAGAGAGGAGAAGCACGAAGGTGAGAAGAGTTAGGGCAAGAGAATTCATTGTTGAAGCTTAGGAACTGTCAATCCAAAGTAAGGGTGGGGTTCCAACTCTCTAAAGGGTATTGTGTAATGATGAGTATGTCGGAGTACGGTTTCCATGGTTATTGTGTGATCATGTTTTAATTTAATTTGGGGTTTTTGAGGAATATGATAACATGATGAATCTATGACTGATTTGATAAATTTTGATGTTACAATGCCATGAATTGATACCCATTACATGTATGTTGATGTATTATTGTTGTGTGATGGATATGTGTTGAATTATGTGAGTTTTAAAAGATTTGTTTTGGAGTCTTATGAACTCCTCAGTTTTTGACTAAAAGTCGATTTAAACTATATGATAATTATTTGATATGTGTCGCGCCGCGAAAAAACAGAGTCGCCACTGAACCCTATTTATCCCAAAGGAAAAGAAGATATCGAGAGGACCCCAAAGAAATAGATAAGATGGTCTTGCGACCAAGAGAAAGGGTACAGAAGTCGGTTACGCAAGGGCAAGGTATTAACACCCCACGCGTCTGTGGTGCTCCACAGGATCTACTTTTGTTTGCTTTAATTTAAAGGTGTGCAAAAAATTTTGTCTAAAGCTTAATGTTAAGAAGGAATGTGTGATACGGTGGGAGAACTAATTTGGGTGTTTTGCGTTTGATCGCAAATGTTGCGGTTAGCAAGAGTCGCCATCGACTTTTCTTTTATCCAAAAGGAAAGGCTGAAAAGAACAGGAAAGACCTTTGAGATTGTTACTTGAGTTCGGGGGGTAGATTATGAAAAGGAAAGGTGTTAGCACCCTTTTCATTCATAGTTATCTATGGGCTCTTAGTTGCTTGCTAAATCACTTGCTTTTGTTTGAAAATGTGCTTTGTTGTGGTTTTGAAAGTATTTTGAAAAGGTGTTATCGTTTAGGAAAACTTTGTAATAGTTCTCGTTCGTAAGAACGTATACAAAGTGTTGGGCTTTTGAAAATATTTCATGTTTGGAAAGTGTTTTGAAAGTGTTTTTGAAAGTGTTGGTGTTTGTTTTAAAAATAAGCAAGGGTGTTTGATTTGAAAAGGAGCAAGCAACTAGGAACAATCTACCTACTCAAAAATCTTTGTTCATTTCTTCCTTTATTTTGATATTATTATCTTACCATTGATTTGGCAAGAAGTCTTATCTTTGGATGTAAAGGGACGGGCGTGGGTCATTGTATAGTCATAATAGCAAGGTTGTAAGATGTCTTAGTATTTCTCTTTGAGGGACTAAGATCATTTTGAAAGGCAACATTGATAGCGTCATTGAGGGACTATGATCTTATATTTTTATTTCTTTTTGCTAAGATATCTCACATGCATAACATGGCCATTTTTGTAAGGCAACAAAGTGGAATTACCCTAAGGGTGCAAGTGTGCAAATGTGTTTGATTTACATGCATTGTTTATCTTGGATTAGGGTTTGCTACTTGTTGATTTTAATCTTTCCATACAAACCCTAATTACTAACATTTATATAAAGCGATAAATTGCGGAAAATAAAATTACTATGTGTTGTACCCCAAAATTTTTCCTCTCACTTGTCAAAGATTTCCTCACAAGATTTTTTGAACTCAAGACTGCATTAGGGTTTGATCAACTCAAGACACCTCCTCATGCACTGATGACCAAAATTAAGGTTTGAGTTTGCACAAGGATTTTTGGACCATCAATGCTTCATATGACTTTCAAGTATCATTATGGACCCCCAAGATTATTCATGTTAAGTTTCAAGCCTTGAATCACATTTTTGATCAGTCAATTGGACAATTGACCTAAAAATCAGCTGTATTGGGGGAAAAGTCAACCATGGCCAATTTACAGTCAAACTTCATAATTTTTTATCCACATCAACATCTTAGACTCATATGTATCATTTGATCAAGTTTGGACCATAATTCCTCAAGAAAATTGATCAAATCATCAAAAGGGCAAAATGGTCAAAATTAGGGTTTTGACTGAGAAGGGGCAATTTTTGATTTTTGACCTAGAAAATGATCAATTGGTTTGAAGCATGATTTCAAGATTTCAATTGCATCATCTTGACCCAAAAACATGATTCAAAACATTACAAATCCATTGGATTGACATATGAATTTTGCAGTCAACTGATCAAAAGTCAATTGTATACTGAAAAGTCAAACTTTGACTTTTTGGTCAAAATCAAGTGCCAAAGATCACAATTCATCAAAAAATGTCAAAAGGTGAAACTTGTTCATCGAGAAAGCAGGGTTTAAGTTTTGGTTTTGAAAAGTTGAAATTTTTAACTTAGAAAATTTTCTAAGTATATAAAATTTCTTATTTTTTCTCAACTTTGAGTCAAATTTTCACCATGATGCAAGATGATTCAAAGGAAGTTCCCAACATGGAAGTTGTAGGTATCCATGAAATATACAACTTTTCTTCACACAATTTCTCCTAAAGATGCTTGGATCTAAAGATATAAATTTGTGAATACATGCTCATGAACTAAAATAACTTAGTGAAATTTGCCCTAGTTAGGCAGGTTTTTGACCTAACTTCATGCCAATTTTTCACATAGTTCCAATGGGAATCTTTGAAAGCAATTCAAAGATGAGTTGTAGAGCACATTGAAAGATTTCCAAAATTTCTAAGAACTCCTTGAGATCATTCTCGAGTATGGAGAATCGAAGAGATGAAGTTGGCAATTTCTCACTTTGATTTCAAGCCATTTCATGATGAACCAAAGTTCAAATTCAAGCCTAGGCTGCATAATCTTTGCTTTGAAGGCCTCAAACTTATTTCTCACTCCATAATTAAATGTTTACACAACTTATAGAGCTTTAATCCAAGCATTAGAGCCTTTGTCCAATCTACATTTCCATTTATGGCACAAAGTTGCCATTTCCATTTTGATAAAGCACAACTTTTGCAATTGTCAACTCCTTGAGCTTTGCACTTGTTCTTTTTGCACACACAAACCCTATAAACCAAAAGCAATGTGTCTAGAACCTCTATCAACTCAGATCAGGCTTGTACAAACACTTAGGGGCTTGTCTCCTCACTTTTCTTCAAAAAGCAAGCAATAGAGCCAAAATGCTATAACTCAGAAATCTTGAGGAAGCTTGATGTCTAACCTTTTCCATACTAATACACAAATGTATTGCGACCTAACAGGCGATTGATAAGGCTCATAAACTCTCCAAAACACTCTACCACTGAAAATATGCCATAACCTGCAGTTTTGCACCTTACATGGCAATCTCAAGAACCACTCGTGCATTTTGAATTTTAACCACCTAAACACTTAATATACATCATATCTAAGTGTTCCAGACCCTTGTTCCCTCACTATAACTCCTCCTCTTCCATCTGCCATTGTTATATATCAAGCTTACAGGTTGACTTGAGTAGAGAGATTCAGGAACTTTCAAAGCAAGATAAGGATTGGAATACACTCAGGGAGGTTCAGGCAAGCTAAACAAATCCTCAGGCCTTCTCAAAACTTGCTCAAACTCCATTCACGATCTCAACTGAAAGAGGTAAAAAACTCAAACTTCTATCTTTTCATACAAGTATCCTCTGGTCCTGATTTGTGAAAGAAAAATGTA